TTATTTTCTTATTTTTGAATTTGTATTCTAAACTTCTATTATGTTTGCAATTCAGGTTCTAACAATAATGGAAATTTCTTCAATCTATTTGAGGAGTTGGAGGAGAATGGTAATGAGGAGGATGAGTATGAGGTAAATTTTAAACAATAATGTTTTTTTATATAAACTATTAGATAAAGAAAATTTTCTAAAATTTTGTTAATTTGGGGTATTTGTTTTTATTTCAGGAAGTTATTTCTTCAACTTGAAATTATTAATCAAGCCTAGCTAAAGTTGCTGCTGTAAAGTTTGCTTTGCTGGATTGGATGGATATGTACGCATGTGCCACTTTTTAGACTCTTTTATGTGCTTTTTTTTAATGAACTTATTGCTGGACATGTTGGCAGCAGTTTATGCATTTGTTTTTTCTATCAACTTTGCTGAATCTAGACATATTTGTTTTTTCTATCAACTTTGCTGAATCTAGACATATATGACAGTTGCAATTTATGCTTTTATTTTTTATAAACCTTTTGTTGGATTTACTGGATTTATATGGCAATTTATGCTTTTTTTCTTTATGAAATATGAAGTTGTTGCTGGCTTGCTTGCTGGTTCTGTTCTATGTGGTGTTTATGCTAATACTGGTTTAGTAGCTATTAGTTGATGGTGTCTAATTAGGTGAACAGTGCTAAAGGAGTTGGCGGTGGTGCAGGGTTAGGAACTTGATAGATTGTTTGTTGGTGGATTTCAGTTGCCACTTGCCAATGTTAAATGTCATTTTCTTGATCCAACCCAAACCCAAACCCAAACCCAAATACAATGTTAAATGTTAAATGTTAAAGTAAAATAGCAGTGAAAATTTTGATTAATAAGTAGTGAAAATTTTGATTAACAAGCAGTAAAATAGGTGGTAGTTTTATTGGTGGGGACTCTGAATACCCGCGGGGACCTATTATTCCCCGCGGAGATGGGGACGGAGCCAATTTTTGACCCTCCGCCAAAAATCCCCGTGGGGATCCCCGTACCCGCCATTGGCGGGGATGGGGATAGGGAGGGGGTCCCCGCCCCCGTGGGGACCCGTTGCCATCCTTACGCACGTTCTTGTGTGAATCCAGGTCCTTTTAAAGAAGCATTCACTCGCAACTGATGCATGGATCGAAGAATTTTTAAAATATAGATATGGACTACATATAATCTCATTTATTATAAAAATTATTAAAGTTTTAATAAAACTTGAATAAATACTTAATGATTTTTTAAAATTTTCAATAAATATTAAATGAATCTTTAAAAATATTCAATAAATACCAAATAAAATACAATAGACCTTTTAAAATTTAAATTAAATTATATTTTTAATAATAATTTTCCCATTCCCATCTTCAATATTATATTTTCTATAATGATCTTTCCATTTTATATAATTCTATCTCAATCTAATTTCAATTGTTTCAATTATATTTCAATCTAAACTCAATTATATCTTATTATATTATAAAAATTATTGAAATTTTCAATAAATTTCAAACAATTATCTAATGGATATTTTAAAAGCTTTCTCGAATTTAAAAAAAAAATACCAAATAGATTTCATAAAGAAAATTCATTGATGAAGTTAAAATTTGATTAAATTAAATTAATCCCTTTCAAATTTCTTGATGAGCAATGTACATATAATTCCTTATTAAATTAATTCTTCTTATAATAA